CTTCATATAACTTCATTGGAGCACGTCCCTTATGCTTGGGTCCCCTTTTAGCACAACATGTACTGCAGGTCCTGCACCATTCTGCCTCGTACCTATCCAGTAAAATATCTGTCGTAGGCGACTTAATGTCTTCTTAACTCCGAGATGTCCTCCTGTTAAACTATCATGGGATCGATGCAGCACAACTACCCGTAACTTTCTCGGTATAACTGTTTGTCAGGTCGTCACTTTCCCATCTGCAGTTTCTCATATCCGGAGAAGAATACCATCTTCAAGCTTCAACTGGTCCCATTGTGACCATTAGTTCTTTGTCACAGGGCTTAAGCTAGACACCTTCTCAGAAGCAGGTCACAAAACACTTGTTTTTAGAAAATCAATTATTGGCTTCAAATTTTGGTCTTTCTCCTGCTCTGCTTTAATATCTATACCTGGTTACAGTCACTTTGACTCCAGTTTTATGACACCTAGTTAGCTCAACCTCTCTTTTGCAGCAATGTCTGCAGTCATTTTTGCAAGGTCTTCGACTCAGTCCATCAGCATTTACATGAGATTTTCCTTCTCTGTATTCAATATCATAATTATACTGGTCTATCTTTCCGATCTAACGTGCCAGTTGTCCCTCTGGCTTCTTTAATGATCTTAACCAGTGTAATGCAGCATGGTCTGTCCTGATGGTAAACCTAGCCCCATAAAGGTAAGGATGGAAATATGTCAGACTTCTTACTATAGCAAGGAGTTCTCTCCATGTTACACAGTAGTTCCTCTCAGGTCTACTCAGGACCCTACTAAAGTAAGCCACCACATGTTCGTTTTCGCCCACTTTCTGAGACAACACTCCTCCAATTCCGACATTACTAGCATCACAATTCAATATGTACGGCAGTGAGGGATTTGGAAGCTTTAGAAGTGGAGCTGAGGCCAATTTGTCTTTCAATGTCTTAAAAGCATGCTGGCAAGAAACTGTCCATTCACACTTCTGGCCTTTTTTTGGTCAAATCATGTAATGGAGCAGCTATAGTTACAAAGTCCTTCACAAACTTTCGGTAATAGGTACAGAATCCCAAGAAACTTCT